ACACAAAAAGGAGGGAGATGGGCCTGGAACAAGAACTTGAGCTTGGTGGTCTGGGCAGGGATGGTGCCTGATCAGAGAGGCAGGTGGTTTGGTCAGAAGACCGGGTTTGGTCCAGGTGTGTTCAGCAGGTGGGAGCAAAATCTGACTCTCATTTTGGGACTTTCCCTCCAACTACCCAGACAGAGACCAGGTAGGAAGTGATCTTGGAGGCCAGGTGAGATATGATGGCACTTGGATGAGGTTGTCCAGGCTCAGTTACTTTGTGAGCCCTGGGCAGGAATGCAGTTGGAGGCCCCATCCCTGGGTAAAAATTTAGGATATAAAGTTATCGAAAACACACGGGGAAATAGTTCATGTTCTGCCTCCCACTTACACAAATACACATTCTGACCACCTGGAAGGCAGGGCTGGTTTAGAATTCTGATCCTTGGGCTCCCTGCTGCTTCCCCCTCTTCTTCCCAAGCCTGGCAGCCTCACCTGCTATAGGCCCACGGCCATGCACACCCCAGGCCTCACCTTTGCACTGACCACACCTGCCTGCATGGGGAGGCCAGGGAGGACACACAGGGGAGTTTTCCAAGGCATGAGCCAGAATTTAGGAAACATTGTAGTGCCAGCTCCTCACTCCCTGGCATTACTGCAGGAAGGTCTGACCAGGCAGGGCTTTGTGGTGGCAGGGGGCAGGTGGTCTTGGATCTCCTGGTAGGTAGAGACCACGGAGAGACTTGTGTGCTCCCTCCAAAGAAATCAGTGTTCTATTACCTTCAGAGCTAGCAGGGAGCAACTCACTGTCCTTTCTGCTTCAGAACCACAGTCTGCCTTGGAGAGCACATCTGTCAGGTGATTGGCAGCAGCCTTCCCTGGGATACTGGTCTGGGCCCTCACCAGTCCCTGTGCTGCCACCTAGTGGTGACAAGAGAAAATGTGCCACCCACCTGCAGTGGGGAAGGCACTTCAGAACATTTTGTTGTACTTCTGCATCAAAATCAGTGTGTTCAGATTCTCCAAGGCTCTTAGTGAGCAAGAGGAGGGATTATCCTGCAGGACCAAGTTGGGTCTCCTTAGAAAGGAGAAGACTCATGTTTTGCTTTCTTGCCCTATGTCAGATCTGTCCATCTTGATGAGGAGCTCTTTCCAAACTTATGTTTTTCCCAAAGACAAGGTGAAGGGTCTTATCAGTCAGTCCCAGCAAGTGAGGAAAGCAGGCAAGCGCCCTTATGGGGGAGCAGGGTGGGGTATACAAGGAATGTCACTGGGAGCATTTGAGTGTCGCTGGGTCAGATTTTGGTGTTAGAAGGAAACTTGAGGCATGGCTCACCTTATCACACTGGTGTGCCTGGGCCACTGCTCAGAGCCTGTGTGTAGGGATATACTCAACAGGATTCTTGCCAAAGTAGGCTAGGTAATCAGATATAGGGGAGAGTTCAGGGATTTCATCACATAGGAAGGAGTAGGAGTTTTACTAAACCGACTGAACCGGATTCTTGCTAAAACTAAACTAACTTGGCCAAGGACAGGGCACTGGTTCCGGGCATTGACACAGAGAACCTTGACTAAAGTTAGAGCCAAGAGAGAGTCGTCATCCCAGCCTGCCTCTGTTCTGGGGCTGGCTAGGGCAGCAGCAAACACACTGCCAGCAGCTTCTAGCCCCCAATACCCTGCTGAGGTTCAAAGGAGTGAACTGTAGTCATTTGAGGGCAGCACTGTGCAAAGCATAGACATGGCCTCCCTGGGCTGCCCTGGAGCAAGCCAGAGAAACTTCTGGAAGTTCTCTGGAGCTGCATCAGTAGTTACCATGGCTCTAGTGTCTTCAGAGTGCAAGGGCCTGAGAGGCTCAGGCAGAGGGGACAAATATATCCTCAGTCCAGCACACAGGGCACGTGATGGCCAAAGTCAAGGTGCTAAGATCAAAAGTGCACAAAGCAGAAAAGGGGCACAAGCCAATTAATTGCACAGTGTTTGGGGGACCTGGTGGTTGGATTATAGCCAGAAGCAGGCTTTCTACCTTTCCCCTATCACAGGAGAAGAGGACACTGGTGTCCTCAAAAGAACTGTTATGTTAAGCTGTACGTCACAAAGTAGGCAGAGAATGTTCTATTCCACTTGGTGAGATATTCCTAGTGAATGGTGATGCTCACAGGACATGATGACTACAGTTCAGATGCTTCCTGTGCAGCCAAGAGGGTGCCGGGGACTGATTTAAAGGGAAATGGAGGGGCGCTTGGTTGGCTCAGTAGGTTAAGCATCCAACTTCAGCTCAGGTTGTGATCTCACAGTTCATGGGTTCGAGCCCTGAGTCAGGTTCTGTGTTGACCGATCAGGGCCTGGAGCCTGCTTCCAATTCTGAGTCTCCCTCTCTCTCTCTATTCTTCCCCTGTTCGTGCTCTCTCTCTCTCTCAAAAATAAACATAAAAAAATTTAAAAATGGAAGGGGGAAGGGCTGACTTTGAAGGTTAAATTAGAGTGAGGTGAGGCAGATTTGCTTCAGGGGTCAAGGGCTCATCTGCAACACTACATGGCATCAGGAGAGATCCAACGAGCACCCCATCTCTTCCAGCCTGGTGGGCAGCCCTGGGATGAGTGACTGTGTCACAACAGAGCATCTTCAGCCTCTGCACTGACTCGAGCCATAATTCAGGGGAATTAGGGTCAGGGTCTCCCAGCCCTTTCCCTCCCCTGCAGGGCTTTGCATCTGAACCTACTGAGATTTGAGGCTAAGGGAGAAACCAGAATGAGGACAACCTCATGGTCTACACAGCCCTGGGCAGGGGGAGGACTTCTGAGATGACAAGCACCTGCACAGATTGTTAAGTGTGAATGGAACGCCCTACCTGTAAAATAACAAAGACATCAAAGGAAATATCAAGAATGAGATATAATGTGTTGCAGTATATAAATGCTGGGGCCCAGGGCATGAGGACATGTAGTGAACTTGGCAGATGGGGACCTGTGCACAGTCACTATGCAGTACCTGCAGACGCCCATGCATCTTGGAGCGCTGGGATGCATTGAGGACACCGGGGCAGCCTGTTGCCCTGATTTTCACAAATGAGGGTAGGAGCTCATGAAGGATTATATATGTTTTACACCAATTTATTAAGCAGTTGCATTCTTGGAAATCTCAAACTATTGAGATTACACACTCTCCAAAACACTCTGGGTCATATGTGGCATTGCAGTTAAGCCTAAGGTCACATAATCATAAGCAAGTTCTTCTCTTAAGTAAATGCTCAGCAGACACTCAGAGCATAGGAGGACCCAGGGAATTGTTCTGTGGAGGACACCGTGTGAACCTGTGTGGATACACAGCACCCACGTCCAGGATCAGCCCAACATCAAGAACTGAAAATGTAGCGCCCATTTCCATCATGCCCACTAGGCGGCATTGCTGCCACGTGGAGAAGGAAGGTCACTGTCACAGAAGATGGGGGGGGGAGTGGAGTCTGACAGGGGAGACAGCTGGGTGGTCAATGGAAGAAGCCACAGGGACTCAGCTGGAAGAAACGAGCAGCACATCCCCCGGCCCAGGGTTAGAACTGGAAGCAGTGTGTGCCAGGCCTGAGATCACAGGAGACTAAAACCAAGCAGTTCATTCTGAGAGGCTCCTGTAGGTCCCCTTGAGTCCTGTCATATCTACACACCTCCCTGTCAGGTGCCGGGGATATGTCTCTCCCCTCAAGTTGGCCCCCAGTCCAGGGTGGAGAACATTCCAGCACACCCTGCAATCTGGGGGGGGAGGGGTCATGATGGAGAATGCTCCCTGGATTGGAGCCTCCTGGGTAGGAATGTTCTGGAAGAGAACCCAGCAGGAGTGGTCCCCTAGATGCATGGAAGTTAACAGGTTAAAGCAGCGAAACCATCCTGGGTCAGGGATGAATCCCCCCAGAGCCTGCACCCCACACTCCCAACAGGCCCCTGTTTGGAGCCACGATCAGGCTCGGGGTGGGAAAGCAGGCTGGCTGTGAGTCAGATGGAGCCAGAGCGGCGAGAGCAACGCCTCCATCACTGCTCAGGCGTCCAGGTGGGCTCTCTGGGTGCACAGAGCGCCTGTCCACACCATCCCACCAAAGTGCTCTTGTTGTGTTTGGAGTCAGAGTTCACGTATCTGTGACTCCCCAGGAAACAGATCTGGGCCAGGTCCACACCTTCCTGTCCCCTGCACTGTGCTCAGCATGGGGGCCTCCATAAATGTGTGCTGATGAGTGAGTGAGTGTGGAGTAATCCTGCTTCTCCCTGCAGGGCTGAGATGATAGTGGGAAGGTTATGGGTCCACAGCCCCACACCAGCATCGTGTTTGTACTTCCTGATGCCCCTTCTGAGCATCTGGTGCCATCATGGTGCCATGAGAAAACAGGACCCCTCCACACAGAGGAGCAGGTGTCCCTGGGCCATCCTGACAGGCTGAGCCTGGTTCCCTTTTAAAATGATGGCATTGTGGGAGTTGCTCCACCCCTTTCCTGGTGCACTAAAATACCATGGATGCTGGCACATCCCTGGTGACAGAGAGCACACTGGTGGTTGCCAGGGGCCGGGCAGGGTGAGGGGGTGACTGGTTTTGGCTACGGAGCTTCCTCAGGGGAGAGAAATGTTCTGGAGCCCAGAGCAGTGCTGGTCGTACACACTGTACATGTAGTAAAGCCTCAGAGCTTCAGTCCACTCTGAAATGACATGACCACTTTACAGGAATTGTTTTTGTAGATACAATGGGACAGCATAAAACATTCACAACACGGGTAAGAGTCGCAGACCAGGGTTCAAACTTCAAGGCATAAAAAAAGTAAGTCCCAGGATGCACTGTTCAGGATGGGACCACAGTTGATAATGCTCTATCGCATATTTGAAAGGCCCTTCGGGAGTAGCTCTTTAAATTTCTCATCATCAGAGAAACCTCAGATTAGGAAGGACACGGCGAGAGTTCCAAACTGTGAGAACTGGCCTCGGCTGTTTGCTCAGAGCCTTCTTTCCCTGTGGCTAACTTGCCTCTCTTCATCTGTGTGTAGGAAACGCACCGAGGACTCTTCATCCAGCAGCTGCGGCCCACACAGAACCTCCAGTCCAGGATCAAACTGAAGCTGTTCGGCCACTCAGGCTCGGGGAAGACCACCCTGGTGGAGTCTCTCAAGTGTGGGCTGCTGAGAAGCTTCTTCCGAAGACGCCGGCCCAGACTGTCCTCTGCTGGCTCCACGAGGTTCCCGCCCTCACCCCTGGCATCCAAGCCAGCAGGTAGGTACCTGCTCGCCGGCTCCTGTCTCTCCACTCCCTGCTTCCTTTTGTGCTGTCTCCTGTTACCATCTAGAAGGAGTGCTGGCTCTTTGTTGGTTACCTGGCCTGTGGTGACCAGAACTCATTGTCTTGGTGGCTTTAGGTGGGGTCTACCCCGGCTGTGGGCCATGGGTTGGCCTGCAGGTATAGATGCCCCAGCAATAGCAAGGACAGGGCCGCACCAAAGTCACAGTCACAGACACAAAGTTCCAGGTTACAAATATGCAGATCACAGAGTGGTGGTGTGTTCTTCTCCAAAATGGTTAATAGGGTGAATTGTGTGTTGTGTGCACTTCACATGAATGTATTTTAGATGCAATGAGACAGAATAAAACACATCTGCTACATGGGTAACAATACAGACCAGGGTACCCAGCCTTTGAATACCCAACGTGCATGAACAAATACAGTTTCCAGATTGTACACATCGAATATTGGCCCCAGGATGGGTTCTCCCCCTTACGCTTTCTTTTTGGAGTGCTGGGCACACCCAGTGATTCAGGAATACAGCAACAAAGTTCATTTCCGTCCCTGTGCGACTCAAAGCGGGTTGGTGATTTTGAATAGCTCCCTGAGGATCTCGTGGTTGGTCCATCCACTCACATGGAGCCTGCTTGGGAGGCTGGCTTTGGTGTCTTTCCCGATCTTCTTAGACACGGCTAGGGGTACATGCACGTCCAAAAGTGCCATGTGCCTGTCCTTCCCCCGGGAGAATTGTGCCATCTGGGATGTTGTTTCTCCTGAACCCAACTGAGGGAATTCCATTTTACAAGGTTAAGACTATAACCCTTCAAAGAGTTTCCTTAGTCTCTATTTTGTGCAAGGATTTGTTTTCTACATGTGATACTGCAAGGTATCTTATCAATTCCCCACATTGAAAGCAATGGTTTTACAGTTTTGTTTCTATGCAGTCCCTCTCTCCATGAGGAAGGGTGTCTGGGAAGCATTCATCAGGGGGTGGGGGACACTTGACTGAGGTTTACATGTCCCTTTCAATGTCTTTTCTCTGAACAGCAGTGGAGTTACAATAGGCTCTGAGATAATAACCACAATGGATTTACTGACTACAGTTTTGCTCACACCTATTGCTCACACTTTCTGAGCACTAAGTGTGTGCCAGGCACTGGCACAACGTAGTCCGTGTGACTCTTCCTTTAATCCACATGACAGCCTACAGGGTATTATACTGAAGCCTGGAGGGGTCAAGTGGAAGCCCAGTGTCACACAGCTGGCAATTCTTGACGTGTCTGACTCCTGAGCTAGTGCTTAGTGACTATGCATACAACTCCGTCTGGAGTATAAGGGCATTTGCAGACATACATTGTCCATTGTCTTCCATAATTTGGACTCAGTTTGGAGATATAAGATGGGTTTCACCTTCTCTGAAGTCAGTAGTTTTCCAGACTTAATGATTAGGTTCAGCCTCAGTGTGTGGACTACACCAGCGTTTGTGAGTGTGTGTCTGTGTATGAGAGAGGGAAAGGGGGAGAGACAGAGATCAAGAGAGACAAAGACCTCTATTTAGACCTGTGATCTGGAATTTCTGTAAGGCTTCATTGGGTATTAAGATGATGCCCTAGAAGCCTGAACTGAACCAGCCACAGATTTTATCTCCTGTTTATCCCTCACCTCTCCAAAGTAATGTCTCCATTCATCTTCCACATCTGGAAGAATCTGGAAGTAGATTCATAATAAAATGTGGCTCAGGAAGGCTAGATTATCAGCCAGGGTCATGGTGTTACAGCAGTGTCCTCCAGGCAGCGCTGAGGGAGCTTGGCTGTGTGGCTCAGTGACAGAACATTCTGTGGAGGAAGAAGTATGCTCTGGACCAAAGAAGTCGCTCGGCCTCAGTTGGCACAGAGATGCAGCGGGTCTTCCTCTGTTTAGAATTGTTCAGAGCTGCCTCTCCAGGCCACGCTCTCAAAATTTCTGTCTAGATAACAGGTAAGTGTGGTCAGGCTCCCCCCATAGGACTGGTAGGAGGTAAACACTGCTCCCTCTGGTGTCCTACCTGACTCAGTTCTTCAGAACCTTCCTGGTGCCCTGGCATTGACACTGGCTTTGTCACCAGAAGCAGCTGGAGGGAGGAATCGTCACACGGTTCCTCCCTTCTCCTGGGGACGGGCGGCCTTGTTCTCTCAGGAGGCACAGCACTCGTGTTAAAGTCCCCTCGGGGGTTCGCAAGACTGAAGAAAATGGCAGATGCTGGAAAGACGCAAGAGCAGGCCAAGGGGACGCGGAAAGGAGGTCCATCTGTCACAGCGGCTGCTCCCTGGGGACACCACAGTGACACCTAGAAGCAGGAAAGCGTGGGAAGTGGTTGACCTCGTCTGCACTGACTGGGTTCAGGTGCCACACACGTGTCATCTCACTGGATTCTCAGGAATCCAGAGAAAAGTAACCCAGGCCTCAGAGACATATCGTGTGTCTAAGGCAGAGGCTGAAATCCAGGGCCTGCTAGCTGCCATTCTATATATGATACAAGAGAGGGGGAGGAGGAACATTGAATTCTCTGCTGACATTCAAAGCTCATTCACCAAAAAAATTGGATATGGGGTTCTTTGTGGAAAATTGGAAGCTCTGGGTACACCGATTCACATCCCTGATATCAGATATAAATGTGCCATGTGAGTGCATTTATATCCCGCAGACAGCAGGGAGTTGGATTGTGTTGACAACTTGGCCCCTTCTGTAGTCATCTGAAAATGCTGGAATTTGGGGGCTGAGCCACCAGCCAGGAAACAAGACCAGGTGGCGTGTCTGCCATCCCTTCCTGCAGCCACTCAGTCACGTGGTACCTACCCCACACTGCATGTGCTATACACATGCTCACTCTGCTGCCAGCTGTCACATGTCACACTCACTCTGTCACAGCTGTCACATGTGGGGCTGCATGGGGAAGGAAATACCCAGAGCAGAGGGGGAGCGAGTGTCCAGGAGGAGCCCTGCAGGGCTGCTGCCTGCTGTTCCCAGAGAAGAAGTGGAAAGAAGTATCTTTTTCGTTTTCTTTTAAAATTAGATTCAAGTTACTTAAAATACTGTGTAGTATTGGTTCCAGGAGTAGAATTTAGTGGTTCATTGATACTGTGTAGTATTGGTTCCAGGAGTAGAATTTAGTGGTTCATTGCTCATCCCAACAAATGCCCTCCTTAATGCCCATCCCCCATTTTGTCCATTCCCCTACCCACCTCCCCTGCACAACCCTCAGTCTGTTCTCTGTATTTAAGAGTCTCTTAGGATTTGCTTCCTTCTCTGTTTTCATCTTATTTTACTTTTCTTTCCTTTACCCTATGCTCATTTGTTCTGTTTCTTAAATTCCACATATAAGATAGGAAATCTTATGATATTTGTCTTTCTCTTTTTGACTAATTTTGCTGAACATAATACAGTCTAGTTCTATCCACGTAGTTGCAAATAGTAAGATTTCATTCTTTTTCATTGCCAAGTAGTACACTACATCTTCTTTATCCATTCATCAATTGATGGACATTTGGGCTCTTTCCATTATTTGCTGTTGTTGATAGTACTGCTTTAAACATTGGGGTGCATGTGCCCCTTAGAATAAGCATTTTTGAATCCTTTGGATAAATACCTAGTAGTGCAATTACTGGGTTGTAGGGTAGTTCTATTTTTAATTTTTTGATGAACCTCCATACTGTTTTCCAGAGTGGCTGTACCAGTTTGCCAGCAGTGCAAAAGTGTTCCCCTTTCTCCACGTCCTTGCCAACATGTATTGTTTCCTGTGTTGTTCATTTTAGCTGTCTGACAGGTGTGAGGTGGTATCTCATTGTGGTGATTTGTATTTCCCTGATTATGGGTAATGTTGAGCATCTTTTCATGTGTCTGTCTGCCATCTGGATGTGTTATTTAGAAAACTGTCTATTCATGTCTTCTCATTTCTTCACTGGATTATTTGGTTTTTGGGGTGTTGAGTTTGATAAGTTCTTTATATTTTGGATACTAACCCTTTATGTGATCTATCATTTGCAAATATCTTCTCCCATTCCATTGGTTCCCTTTTAGTTTTGTTGATTGTTTCCTTCGCAGAAGCTTTCTATCTTTTTTTTTTTTAATATTTTTATTTATTTCTAGGAGAGAGAGACAGCGTGAGCAGGGGAGGGTCAGAGAGAGAGGGAGACACAGACTCTGAAATAGGCTCCAGGCTCTGAGCTGGCAGTCAGCATAGAGCCCGATGCAGGGCTCGAACCCATGAACCGTGAGATCATGACCTAAGCGAAAGTCGGACGCTTAACTGACTAAGCCACCCAGGCGCCTCACTTTCTATCTTGATTAGGTCCCAGTAGTTTATTTTTGCTTTTTTTTTTTTCCTGCCTCTGGAGACATATCTAATAAGAAGTTGCTGCAGCTGAGGTCAAAGAGGTAGCTGCCTGTTTTCTCCTCAAGGATTTTGATGGCTTCCTGTCTTACATTTTGGCCTTTTATCCATTTTGAGTTTATTTTTATGTATGGTATAAAAAAGTGGTCCAGGTTCATTCTTCTGCATGTTGCTGTCCAGTCCTCCAAACACCATTTGCTGAAGAGGCTGTCCTTCCATTGGATAATCTTTCCTGCTTTGTCAAAGATTAGTTGGCCATACATTTGTGGGTCCATTTCTGGGTTCTCTATTCTGTTCCATTGATCTCTGTGTCTGTTTTTGTGCCAGTTCTATACTGTCTTGATGATTACAACTTTGTAATATAGCTTGAAGTCTGAAAATGTGATGCCTCCAACTTTTGTTTTCTTTTTCAGGATTGCTTTGGCTTTTTGAGGTCTTCTTCTGGCTCCATACAAATTTTAGAATTATTTGTTCTAGCTCTGTGAAGAATGCTGGTGGTATTTTGATAGGGATTGCATTGAATGTGTAGATTGTTTTGGGTGGCATTGACATTTTAACAATATTTATTATTCCAATCCATGAACATGGAATGTTCTTCCATTTCTTTGTGTTTTCTTCAGTTTCTTTCATAAATGTTCTTTAGTTTTCAGCATACAGACTTTTTACCCCTTTGGTTAGTTTTATTCCTAGTATCTTATAGTTTTTGATGCAATTGTAAATGGGATTGATTCCCTGACTTCTCTTTCTGATGCTTCATTATTGGTTTGTAGAAATGCAATGGATTTCTGTACATTGATCTTATATCCTGTGATTTCGTTAAATTCATGTATCAGTTCTAGCAGTTTGTGGAATCTTTTAGGGTTTTCCACATAGAGTATCATGTCCTCTGTGAAGAGTGTAAGTTTGACTTCTTCCTTGATGATTTGGATGCTCCTTATTTCTTTTCATTTTTTTTTTTTGTCTTATTGTTGAGGCTAGGACTTCCAATACTATGTTAAATGACAGTGATGAGAGTGGACATCCCTGTCATGTTCCTGACCTTAAAGAGAAAGCTCTCAGCTTTTCCCCATTGAGGATGATATTAGCTGTAGGTCTTCCATATATGGCCTTTATGATGTTGAGGAATGTTCCTTCTATCCCTACTTTCTTGTGGGTTAAAAAATTTTTTTAATGTATATTTATTTATCTTGGGAGAGAGAGAGCCAGGGAGGGGCAGAGAGAGAGGGAGAGAGAATCCGAAGCAGGCTCTGCACTGCCAGTGAAAAGCCCAACACAGGATGACCTGAGCTGAAATCAAGAGTCCACTGCTTAACTAGCTGAGCCACCCTAATGCTCCTTTGAAGGTTTTTATCAAGAAACGATGCTGTATTTTGTCAAGTGGTTTTTCTACATCTGTTGAGAGAATCATGTGGTTCTTATCCTTTATTGTATTAATCTGTGGTGTATCATATTGATTGATTTATGGATATTGAACCAAATCTGTAGCCCTGAAATAAATCCCACTTGATCTTGGTGAATTCTTTAAATGTATTATTGGATTTGATTTGCTAGTATCTTGTTGAGAATTTTTGCATCTGTGTTCATCAGGGAAATTAGTGTGTTATTCTCCTTTTCAGTGGGGTCTTTGGTTTTGCACCAAGGTAATATTGGCCTCACAGAATGAGTCTGGAAGTTTTCCTTCCATCTATATTTTGGAATAGTTTGAAAAGAATAGGTATTAATTCTTTAAATGTTTGGTAGTTTCCCCTGTGAAACATCTGGCCCTGGACTCTTGTTTTGGGGGAGATTTTTTATTACTGATTAAATTTCTTTACTGGTTGTGAATCTGTTCAAATTTTCTATTTCTTACTGTTTCGGTTTTGGTAGTTTATAAAAAAAACCCTGTTTTCTGCCCAGGGTGCAATGATGGCCTCTGTGTCAGGCTTGCCCTGCCACTTTTCACCACTAGGGGCCAGCAGTTAGCAAAAAATCATGTTTTTCTTCTCGGATTTCAATATATGCCCATGAAATTATTTTTTTGTCTATTTATTTAGAGAGAGAGAGAATGAGCAGGTGAAGGGCAGACAGGGAGGGACAGAGAATCCCAAGCAACCTCCATGGGCATAGAGCCAGACATGGGGCTCGATACCAGTACTGTGAGACCATTACCTGAGCTGAAGTCAAGAGTTAGTTGCTTACCCAACTGAACCACCCAGGCGCCACCCACTTTGAAATTATTTTTAAACTACTGTGTAAAAGCTCTTTTCTAATGAAAACTCAGTGAGGTATAGGAATGCCTACCTTTTACCAAATCCTGTTGGCTCTCCCTCGAGAAGCCTAGCCTGCTACTGTGTAGAATCTATTTGCAGTCAGTCTAGCAGTTGCCTAACACCATCTCATGTACCAAGTGGCACCACTTCATCTGCACCTGTCAGGAACCAGATGGGGACATTAATGGAAGGATAGTGCCCTGGGCTAAAATCACAGGGACATTCAAGAGAAGGTGAAGCATCCAAGGCCTGGAACAGAAGGAAGCCATTACTGCCCTGAGGGCAGAAAAGACAAGGGGAAGAAATCCTGTTCCTGAGAAAGCTGGAGTCCAGGGTGAAGCCGCTCAGGGGGTCTAGAGTCACAGGCACACAACTGGAATTAGAGAAGCAGCAAGGGCGGGCGGGGGACACCTGGTCCTTCTCTGTCCTGTCCTGTCCGATGCCTCCTATTGGTTGACCCCAACTAGAAACCAAGTGGCCGGCAGGCCTGGGAGATGCAGTCCATGGAGTCCTCCTCTGGGGCCCAGAGCAGCGCGGGAAAGGGATGTGGGAGGTGCAGCAGCCAGAAAGAATCCAGGCCACAGCCCTGAACCTCTGCCTCCCAGCACACGTGAGGGGTCCACACGGCCCAGCCCCAAGCAGCAGGTGGTGGGGATGAGAGTGTCCCAGGAACCGACAAAGCATGGGTGAGGTGGGAGGGGCGCTGGCACACATGTCGCCCAGGTTGGGGTCTCACTGCGTCCTCTCTGCCTGCAGGATCCGTGAGCATCAGCAACCTGTACCCGGGCTGCGAGCACGTGAGCGTCAGGAGTCGCAGCATGATGTTTGAGCCGGGCCTCACCAGGGGGACCCTGGAGGTGGTGGTGGCCCCGCCCCAGTACCCTCACTGTGCAGCCGATGACCAGTCCACCAAGGCCATCGACATCCAGAATGCCTATCTGAATGGTACAGTAGCCCACCCATCCCCCCACAGGGGGGACCCCAGTGTCCCTTTGCCTGGACTGCAGTTCACCCCGTGAGGGAGCCTGTCCCACTGCATGTGTCACAGTCCCACAAAGGACAGAGGAAGAGCTGCATGAAGTGACCTTGGGATGACCCAATGAAGCATGGCTGGTCAATACCCCTAAATAGTGAAACCAGACACTTTGCTGTCCTGGGCACCTAGCAAAGCTCCGGGCATAGCGTAGGTGCTTAATAAATGACTGCTGAGTAAATCAATACTTTTTCTAAGCAGAGCCAAACATCCACTTGGATTGGAAAACTTAAAAAATACTATCCCATTAGCAGTTTGACCAGTCCAGGTATGAGAAGAGTGATCCTTGAATCATCTACACTCATGGCTGATGCTGATACAAGCACAGGCAGGTTTTTCCACAGGCAAAATTTCAAGTATGTTCTTTGCTCTCAATCATTTCCAAGGGAATGAAGCTTTAAATGCTACCAAGGAAGGTTTACTCCCTCCATCAACCACTGAGTCCTTGCTGCTGTACCCTCTGCGGCTCCCAGAGCCGCCACTTGGGCCTGGGTCACTTGAACACCAGTCCCTGCTTTGTTGAGACACAGTTTAGAGCAGGGATATAACAGTTTCTTTGAGACTCATCTGTGAGGACCGTATGAGCCTGTGTTTATTCACGTGCCTGGTAGAGTGTCTGACACAGAGGAGGTGCTCAGAAAATGGCAATTGGGAGCATCCTTATGTAGGCTCTGCTGGCCCCAGTAAAGTGGAATTAAAGTCCATGGGCCTTTTGCTGTCCTAAAAGCTGAGTGTTCTCTTAACTCCCAGAGCTGAGCTGGCGTGTGGCATAGGGAGAGGAGAAGTGTGTCGTCAGCACCCCACACACCCTCACCTGGCTCCTCCATAACTCCCTCCTGCCCCAGCTCTGACTCTCCATGCTCCCCATGCTTGGAGGACCCAAGCCTGTGTTCCAGAAACCTTCACACCAAGGCCTCCACTGTCAGACTTAGAGAGTCCTATCCCCAGGAGTGTGTGTGCTCCTAGGGGGAGCTCCAAAAGAGCCTTGGATCTTCTAGAATGTTGACTACAGCATTTCTGGCCCAAAATAAGCACTAAGAGGGTAGAATTAGGGAAAGGGAGCCTGAAATCCTACAACGTAAATGGTCCTGCCTGGTCTCTCAGAGGCCCATGGGTGGGTCGACACCATCCTGCTTGATGTGTCGTGTAGGGGTGGGGCACCCCGTGTCTGGACAGTCACCGAGAGGTCCCAGGTGCCTCAAGAACTGCAGTCAGAGCCTCCCCCACAGATACTTCCAAGAAAATCCTCTGCACCCACACTCAGGTATGTGGGAGGAACTGCCCCCCCCACCCTGGGTGACCTCACAGTCCCCACCTCCTCACACTTTCACCCACATCCTTCAGGTGCAGAACTGCGAATCAACTATTGCGTCTTTCCCTTTTGCAGGCAGCCTGCTGGCTTTTGACCAACCTGAATGGGTCGCTTACTCACCTATGGAAGGCGAATGTAGTCATTACTGGGCCAAAATGAAGTTACATATCGTAGTGACTTTTTTGTTCAATGTCATATACCCTGTCATGTTCCAAAAAGAATTTATACTTATGTGAGGATATGGAATCTTATCACATCCATTCTCTGTGTGGGTTTGTTGATGGGGAACCCCAAGTCAGCATTTTGCCCTGACTCCTTCCTTGTGAGGAGGCATCCCTGTGGTGAGAGGTGGGATGCATGTGTCTCCAAAGATGCAAAGATAAACAGGTCGATGCTATGGACATCACTCTTTCCCTTGGTGGTCCCTAAGGTGCTAAGCAAAATGGTGATTGGCACTTGCCGGTGCTGTTTCAGATAGTAATCTGCATTCTGTCTGTAGGAGTTGGTGATTTCAGTGTGTGGGAGTTCTCTGGAAATCCTGTATACTTCTGCTGTTATGACTATTTTGCTGCAAATGATCCCACGTCCATCCACGTCATCGTTTTCAGTCTGGAAGAGCCCTATGAGATCCAGTTGAACCAAGTGATTTTCTGGCTGAATTTCTTGAAGTCTCTTGTGCCTGTTGAAGAACCCATAGGTAAGCCAGCATGCCCTGGTGCAAGAGTGCTCTTCCCATGGGCTGCTCAGCTGCTTGGGGGATTTATAGTTTGAGGCTACAATGAGGTTTCCTTGGTCACTCCTTCCTGTGACAGGATTCCCACTCTGGACATTTCTGTAGGGAATTGTTACATGATCACATTTTCCTGCCTCAGAGACCAAGTCTGAGTGATTTCTTGAGAGCTGTTTCTCACTTTCTTCCTACACTTTAGAGGTGTGATCACTTTTGTTGGGTGGAAGTGGACTATGGCCTACGATGACCTCTGTGTCTCTCTACCTAATGATATGTAATTAATAAGTAAAATGAGCCCCCTTCATTCTGTAGTTCCATCCAGAATGGAAAGGACCATACTGAGTGAAGGCATTATCTTAATTTTCATCCTAGAGCAAAGATAGTGTGGAATATGCTTTTTGTTTCTTTGTACAAAACAGAGGGGCACCTGGGTGGCTCAGTCACTAGAGCATCTGACTTTGGCTCAGGTCATGATCTCATGGTTTGTGAGTGTGAGCCCCGTGTGGGGCTCTGTGCTGACAGCCCAGAGCCTGAATCCTGCTTGGGATTCTGTAGGTCTCCCTCTTTCTCTGCTCCTCCCCCACTCGCACTCTGCCTCTCTCCCTCAAAAGTAACTGAACGTTAAAAAATTAAAAAAAAATAAAAAAACAGAATGGGACTGCCTTCCATGGTGGAAACAAAACTGGGCTATCAATTTTTTTATTTGAAATTCCTATAAAAATCAAATAATTGGGCTTCACCCCCTCAGGGTATGTCCACTCTTCCTTTCTCTTTCTCATTCTTTCTGTTTTCTTACCCAAACACTCCATCAGTAAGAGGCTGTCTGTGTGCACCGCCACAGGTCCTGTTGTGGACATTTCTGGGTATAGCTGTACTCACAGGGCTTTCCAGGTCTTCTAAAGGTGCCCCTGCTCAGAGCCAGGGCAAGCAGAGCCACTTGGGGGGACATCTGAGAAGCTGGCTTGGTGCTGCTGGTCGGTGCTGGCCCACTTCTGGGCCGTCCTCCTCGAGGACCAGGAAACGGGCTCTACCCGCGTTTGGGTGTGCTGGGGTCTTCTCGATGTGATCCTGTACAGCCGGCTGGCCAGCACACCCCGCCTCACCTGGGGACAAGAGAAAACCGAGAAGGATGACCTGCCTGTGAAACGTCTGCTCTCTGCCCCCAGCCTTTGGCGGGAAGCTGAAGAACCCACTCCACGTTGTGCTGGTGGCCACACACGCTGACATCATGAACGTGCCTCGGCCAGCTGGAGGCGAGTTTGGGTACGACAAGGACATGTCCTTGCTGAAGGAGATCAGGAACAGGTGAGGACACTGCGGGGGGCAGGGCCCACGGACACCTGGGGAAGGAATCAAAGGCCTCCTTTGCTTGGTTGGCTTTGTGACGTAGTTTTCATTTTTGTCAAAACACTGAAAGTATAACAAATGCAACTAAAGTAAAGACCACAGGATCTAAAACAACAGACTTGTCACCTCCTTCACCTCCCAGTACCACTGCCTGGGCGAACTTCTGTTAGGACTTTCATGCATCAGTTCTCAGCTTTATGGAGGAAATTATCATTGACAAATCATATTTTAAGATACCTGAAGTGCGCGTTGGTGTGATCAGATGCACGTTATGAGTTAGTTAGCATGTCTGTCATCTTACATGTTTCTCTGTCTTTGCTTTTCATTTTTTTTTTTTTTGGTGAGAATGTTGTTTGTTTTTTGTTTTTTGGAGACTTCAAAATTGATCATGTATTGAGTCACTAAAAATAAACAATGAATCTGCCCCTCCACCGAATAGTAAGATATTTCCACAGGCATGGCAGAATTTTCAATTCTTGGTGAGAATGTTTAAGTTCGACCTTTAGCAAATGTCAGTCATATAATACAGTGACATCAACTGCTGTCACCATGCTTGACACAGATCCGCAGTTCTTTTTGCTATGTTAGCTCTCAGTTCCTTTGATGACTGTCATCTTACCACTGAGCAGTATTTCTCAAGGTCCAAGTTGCTACTCACCAGGGGCTCATGACAGTCACTTAGGGATCCTGACCTGGTCTGGAAAGTGGGCTGGACAGGAGGGGAAAATACCAGAGTGCCTTTCCTGGCAAATATTTCTAGAAAACTTTTGTCTCTTTGACCAATATGAGTGTGCATGGGTCACAGTGTAGAAATATGTAGTTTTACTTTGTATCTGGCCAAAAAACTTTGAAGCTGCAGCTCTGTATAACCTGCCAGTAACACAAATCTTGGTTTATCTACTGCAGACACTTCCTGTTGTCCTCCTGATAGGAAAAAGAAGGGTCATACTAGTATTTTCCATCTAGGGAGTGGCCTTATGCCTACCCTCTGCTCTTACCCCATCCCTCTGCTGTGGCCTCTGTTCTCCCAGTGTCCAAGTGAGGGCATAGACCTCACCTGTCCTGCATCAGGGGACCTGAAGGCTTCCCTTACTGTGTTTGATTTGTGCAAACTGAGCCACCCCCTCCTCCCCACTGCCCCCCACCTCACACCAGCATAACATGACAGGAGCCAGCAGACAGCGGGTTGGGGGCAGCCTCTGCAAGGTCACCAGAACGTCCTGGTTTCAGATCAGCTATTCAGGTGTCCGTGGTAACACCTGGTTGGACTGCATCACCCTGATGAGGCCACTGTCCTTCCCTTAGGTTTGGGAACGATCTTCACATTTCAAATAAGCTGTTTGTTCTGGATGCTGGCGCGTCGGGCTCTAAGGACATGAAGGTACTGCGAAGTCACCTGCAGGACATTCGGAGTCAGATTGTCGCGGTGAGTGTGCTGGAGAGCCTGCAGCCCCACCTTTGCCCAGGCCATCCGGTCACCCCGGAGCTGTCTTCTTCATACTGTCCTCTTGGTTAGGTTTGGTTCTCAGGGGACCTGGTATGAGGCGGCAGCATGGCTGTGTTTGCGTCCCAAGGAACAACAAGGAGGGAAGGGTGAGAAACAAGGATGTGCCTGGGAGATGAGGGAAGTTAGGAGCGAGGGGCCCACTTCATTGTGTATGGGATTCTGACTGTGTTAATGGTTAGTTTGTAAGTAACATTGCCTTTTAAAAATCACAGAAACTGCCCAGAAGTGAGTTATTGTGAAATATTTAGAAAATGCAAAACAATGGAAGAACCATTACCAGCAAGATTTGTTGAAGGACATAAAATAATAGATGTTCAAATGGAATGAAATGTGCTCATGGGGGGGGGGGGAGGCAAGATCTTACTCAGTGTTTCATTTTCTCCAGTTATAGAAACTTAGTATAGAACCAGCCCCCAACTCATGGGAATGAGGAAATTGCGTATTTTGTCTTAAAATTTCAGTGGAAGGATAAATAAAACACCTTGTAAAGGCTGTGTAATTATAAGTTCAAAATCAATAAACCAATAAGTGGAATAAACTAAGGAGTACAGAAGTAAAAAGCACAATGTCTAAGAAATTTAATAGAAAACAAAGGTGTTATTTCATTTTGGGGGGAAATGTTTATTTTATCAGTGATCTCACACAATTGGCTATTAGTCTAGAATGAAGTGAGATTGAGGTCTTCTCATTACAAATCCCCAAAATAGATTCTGGGTGGATTAAAACTTTTAAATGTAAAAAAGAAAAAAAATGCAATATCTTGAATGTGATTTAAAATAACTTGGTACTGCTTTGGAAAACCCATTAGGCAATATTGAGAACCCTAGACATTTTCAAAGAAAACATACCTATTTGACCTTACAGAAGTTAAGATATCTTTTCTGGCAAATAAACTCCCTAAACAAAGTTAAAAAGTAAAGTAGGCTGGAAAAACTATTCTCAGTGCCTTTGACATGTAAAAGGCTCCTAATCTATACTATTCAGAAAGTTTTCCCAAACTGATGTGAAAGGGTAAACATCCAAAGGACAAAATGTTCCCTGCAATGTTCCTGCTGCCCCAGCCTTGGTGTAGATGAGGAGGGCGTGTCCATCCCTCCCTGGGTGGTGAGTGGCCCCCCCAGTTACAGCTTATTACTTCTCTGCTAGGAAATGCCCCCATTTACAGCACCAGGCTCCAGTTCCAGACATGCTTTTGGAACCTTCAGGGAAAACTCCGGGCTCTCCTGAAGCCTGGCCCCTGCCTTCTGATGGGGGCCCTTCTATGGCGTAGTCAGTGAGTGGGGAGTAGTCTGGGGGAGCTCAGAGGAACCCAGTTGCAGAAAGCAGTGGGCAGTGATCTGGGACAGTGGTCTGTGAAGGACCAGCAACCCCCCACCCGGTGGTTGTCATGTTAGGGCCTCTGTGATGAGCTGTAGGAGTTCCCTGATGTTTTGAGCTGAGGTGTGGTGAGATTGTCTCCTTCCCAACCCCAGCCCTCAACTCCTGAGGCCAAGCAGGTGGAACCCACCAAATAGACTGCCTTTATCCCTGGGAACTTTGTCTTAGGAATAGGAAGTGGAATTTAGCTGACATAAAGGTGGGGTTCAAGAAAAGACTGCCTGATTAATGATGCAGAGCAGTGGAAGGCTGGTGTTTTGTTTTTCTTTTTAAATTAAGACGGTGTACACATTATATGGGTCTGTCACAGAGATAATCTATTTAATCAAATTGAAAGATTAAAAACCTGTTTTAAGAGGGATGAGGGGATGAGCAAAATGGGTGAAGGTGGGTGGGAGATACAGCCTTCCAGTTGTGGACTGAATAGGTCAGAGGGATAAAAGGCACAGCACAGGAATCTAGTCAATGGTATTGTAATAGTGTGAGGTGACAGACTTAGCTACACTTGTGATAAGCCCAGCGTAGCCTATGGACTTGTCCAATGATTATGTTGCACACCTGAAACTCATGTACTATTGCATGTTAACTGTACTCAAATAAGAATTTAAAAAAATAGAGAAAAAAATCTGTTTCAAGCCAATTACCAAGAATTAGTCTAATTTGAAATAGTATTTCCACAACAGTTCCACAGATACCTATTTTACTGGTAAAAACCCACTGCAGGATTGCTAATGACAGTTCATCTCTTTTTCTCTTCCTCTGTTCATAAAGTTGACTATCTTCTGGTTGAAAGAGTCACTCCAGAGGAGGGTGGAGGAGGGAACACAACTTCAAGAGTTGGGGAACATTGTGATCAAGTCCATATTCCAAAAGCACTGTTGTGAAGCCTCATCACCTATTTAACCATTAGCAACAGAAATGAAAGCATCTGTGGGACACCTGGGTGGCTCGGTTGGTTAAGCATCTGACTTCGGCTCAGGTCATGACCTCACAGTTTGTGAGTCTGAGCTGTGTTGGGCTCTGTGCTGACAGCTCCTGAGCCTGCAGCTTTGGATTCTGTGTCTTGCTCTCTCTCTACCCCTCCCCAACGCACACTGTGTCTGTCTCTCACTCTCAAAAATATGCCAACATTTTAAAAAAGGAAGAAGAAATGAAAGCATCCATACCATTTTACTCTTGCAGATGGATTTTTCTTAGAGGCAACACTTTAACAAAAGAAGGGCCCATTACTCAACCAAAACGCAGTAACTCATTCAAAGTACTTTTTGCAACAGTTCAGGAAAGAGCACCAAGCTTTCTGCTTTCTCCAAAGGAGTCCCCTCAGCTACAAATTGACCTGTCCTGTCCTGTGTGTCCTAGGTCTGCCCTCCGATGACCCACCTGTGTGAGAAGATCATCTCCACGCTGCCTTCCTGGAGGAAGCTCAACGGGCCCAACCAGCTGATGTCACTGCAGCAGTTCGTGTATGATGTGCAAGACCAGCTGAACCCCCTGGCCAGAGAGGGGGACCTCAGGCGCATAGCCCAGCAGCTCCACAGTGCTGGCGAGGTAGGGGGCTGGAGCCCAGGCAGGAGTCTGGGAAGGGCTCCAGAGATTCGCTTCTGTCCCCACAGTGAAGGTGATTTGAGCCGGGAGAGGCAGAGTGGACACTGTCCAACGTCCCATAACGTATCCAGACGTATGCTGATCACACAGAGGCTCGGGTGCTCTTTTGAAGTGCAGTTCTCTGCTCTCCCATGCATCCTAAGAGCGGGTGTTTGGTTTTCTTCTGATGTGCTTTCCAGCTTGTGTCAGGGAGCACAGTTCCCACTGCACTGGGTGACTGGGCCTCTCCTTTCTCCTCCGGGGGCACCTGGTGCTTAGCTGTGGTTCCTGAAGCCTCTGGAAGCTGCTCACCGTGGGCTGTTATCTGCTCCACACAGACTCCTGGGTTAACAGATGATCAAGAAAAGGCAGTGCTGGGGCAGTGTCTGGAGACACTAAGGCCCAGCAAACAGTGTCCCCAGAAATGACAGTCCTTCCCAGAAATGGGAATCTTTGCTCCTTCTTGTGTGGCATTCAGCACTGGGATGCAGTTTGGGATCACTGTTCTAATCCATCCTCTGTCTGTCCCTGGAGAGGGGAGCTAGCCTTTGTATCCCTCCGTTCTGTGACATCCAGGGACAGTTAAAGCTAGTCCTGGCCATGAAAAGCAGTTCTGAATGTGAAAACCCAGAAGCAGTTCTGAGATTTTTAGACCCCAGGAGCTTCCTTCCCGTGCAGTCTCAGTGCCCACCTCTGACTCGAGGCGAGTGCATATGAATCATATAGACTTGAAATTACAACTGAAGCTAGTGACCCTGAAAACTAGAGCATCAAGCAATGACAGTGTGAGCCTCTGAACTCCACTGAAACTACCAGGAATCTATAGGCCCCTCCAGCAGTACTTTAAAGTGATTGAATTTGGGACACCTGGGTGGCTCAGTTTGTTGAGTGTCTGACTTCAACTTAGGTTGTGATCTCACAGTCTGTGAGTTCAAGCCCCAAGTAAGGCCTGGTGCAGACAGCTCGGCTTGGAGCCTAGAGCCTGCTTCAGATTCTGTGTCTCCTTCTCTCTCTGCTCCTCCCCTAGTCACACTGTCTGTCTCTCTCTTTCAAAAATAAATAAACATTAAAAATTTTTTTTAATAAATAAAAATTTAAAAAGTGATTGGATCCAAGGACTGGGATCCAGACTTATATTCTAAGATGCTCATTATAAGAGAAGATTAACCATAAAAAGAAACTTACTCCATTGGACCAGTATTCTCTTGCCTTCTGTTATTTGACCAGCAACTTCTACATCAAAGGTATAATCTACTTTATTCTACATCACACTCCTCCCTGCCCTTGAGATTTCAGGGAGTGAGGAAGTGAAGACTTGACGGTAGAGTAAGGAAGGAAAATGTCGGTCAGGTGGCCCCCTCTGCTTGACCATCAGCCTCTCCCCCACTGCTATTACTGCCCACTGGTGAGGAAGGCCCGAGTCCTATGCACATCTCACCAGTTGTTCTTGTGATACCTGTTTCTGCCCCTGACCTCTCACTGCACTTGGTCATGTGTCTCCTTAACCTCCTCCAGTGTGGCCAGTGTCTCAGCCTGTCTCCCATGACCCTGAAGGGACAGCAGTGTCCAGGGCTGAAATGCAGATGGTGTCCCCACCAAATGCCTTATCAAGAAATAGACGCTTTACCCTCCAGGAATTGTCAACCTAGGGATCAGTGTGAATAGAGTCCTATGGAGAGGGCGTCTCAAAGCTGTAACCAGAGCGTGGTCTAGAAAGTACTCTTGGTACAAACAGGAGCCTCAAACTGTGTGGAAACGGAGTGGAGTGTCCCTTGGATCAGCACTGTGTGTAGATTTGGCCCTGAACAGGGAAGGAAGTGAGAACAATGAGTGTTGCAAAGAGACTGAAGTTGCCTCTGGTTTTTGTCACATTTCTTTCTCTCAGACTTTAGCTTTTCAAAGAAACAAAGGGGTCAGGTTAGCTCTAAGTTTCCTCTGGCCCTCTGCTATAGTCTTGTCCCTCGCTGCCCTCCTCAGGGCGCTTTTCAGACCTTGTCTCCTACATATCTTCAAATGTTACATGCTGGACTCCTATAACAATTTGAATCTCTCTTTGAAAAATTTCAAGCCTTCAAGGAAGTTGCAGGAATAGCTCAAAGAATCCTCATCTACTTCACATTTAAATTAACCAGCTGTTTGCATTTTACTCCATGAGCTTTGTCTCTTTCTCTTCTATTTATTATTTATTTTGCAAATATCCTGACATTTCACCCCTAAATACTTTAGCCTGGATGTCCTAAGCAGTGGGGTGTTTTCCCATTGTTACAGGGTGGAGGAGGGACAGTAAAGTATCCTCCACGTTGAGACCAAAGAAACAGAGGAGGTGACTCCTTACAGTTTACACAGTTTTATTTGGGGTAACTTCCTAACAGGGGAGATCTGGTGGACAACCATCCTGTAGTGCTGTTATTCTCCCCAAAGTCTGGACCTTAGTCTACAGATGTGATAGAGTGAGGGAATGCACAGAAAGGCAGTGTGGTGAGATCAAAGAGTCCACATGCGCCTCACTGACATCTAATATCGAATTAGATCTCCTAGTACCACCTGTGTGTCAAGAAGGGGAGAGACTTCGTTATCTTTAACAAATTTTCCAGAGGGGTGGGTGGCAAAGGAAGCTACTCACCCTCTTGGCAGTGGTGGGCATGTCTAAGGTATGTATATTAGTCTCTAAGAGTCCCTGGAAAACGTAACCGAGAGCGTCAGCGAGTGGATGTGAACAAGGTGGAGCGCTAAGGATGGAGTCACCCACATAACCACACAATGATCACTTTCCAGAAACATATAGATGTGATCTTGTTATTGAATGTATAATTCTCATTTGAGTGTTTGCCACTTGTCTCAATTATTTCTCTTGTAGCTGCTTTTATTCATTCGTATATTTGGGGATGTAGAACCTGGTCACAGTGTACTCATGGCATTTGCCTGCCACCTCTCTCTCTTTTCTGTCTTTCAATTCATTACCTTGACCTTTTTTTTTTAAAAGTCAAAGGTAGTCTTTTCAGAATCTCTCTTCTGACCTTCTCAAGCTGGCGTTTTGGCTCAGTGTTTGGTTTCTGAGATCCATGAATGCCCTGGGTCATTTTTTGCAACATGTGCACAGATATTATCGTTGCTTAGGTCTTTCAGTGCTCTGAACAGCTGGTGCCTCTCGTCATCTGTGTTCCCGTGTGTGACCTCCTATTGTCCCTTTCGGCAGATCAACATCATGCAGAGTGAAACGGTCCAGGACGTGTTACTCCTGGACCCCCGCTGGCTCTGCACCAATGTCCTGGGGAAGCTACTGTCCGTGGAGACCCCTCGGGCCCTGCACCATTACCGGGGCCGCTACACCGTGGAGGACATTCAGCGCCTGGTGCCCGACAGTGACGTGGAAGAGCTGTTGCAGATCCTAGATGCCATGGACATCTGTGCCCGAGACCTGAGCAGCGGGACCATGGTGGACATCCCCGCCCTCATAAAGACAGACAACCTACACCGCTCCTGGACAGATGAGGAGGATGAAGGAAGGGTCTACGGGGGCGTGCGCATCGTCCCTGTGGAACACCTCACCCCCTTCCCATGCGGCATCTTTCACAAGGTCCAGGTGAACCTCTGTCGGTGGATCCACCAGCAGAGTGCCGAGGGAGATGCAGATATCCGCCTGTGGGTGAACGGCTGCAAGATTGCTAACCGCGGGGCCGAGCTGCTGGTGCTTCTGGTCAATCACGGCCAGGGCATTGAGGTGCAGGTGCGAGGGCTGGAGACGGAAAAGATAAAGTGCTGCCTCCTGCTGGACTCTGTGTGCAGCACCATGGAGAATGTCATGGCCACCACGCTCCCAGGGTTGCTGACGGTGAAGCATTACCTGAGCCCCCAGCAGCTGAGGGAGCACCACGAACCCGTCATGATCTACCAGCCGCGGGACTTCTTCCGGGCGCAGACTTTGAAGGAGACTTCGCTGACTAACACCATGGGCGGGTACAAGGAAAGTTTCAGCAGCATCATGTGCTTTGGGTGTCATGACGTGTACTCGCAGGCCAGCCTAGGGATGGACATCCATGCATCAGATCTCAACCTCCTGACCCGGAGGAAACTGTGTCGTCTGCTGGACCCACCCGACCCCATGGGGAAGGACTGGTGCCTTCTGGCCATGAACTTGGGTCTCCCTGACCTTGTGGCAAAGTACAATACCAATAATGGGGCTCCCAAGGAGTTCCTCCCAAGCCCAGTCCATGCCCTGCTCCGGGAATGGGCCTCCTACCCCGAGAGCACGGTCGGCATCCTCATGTCCAAACTGCGGGAGCTGGGACGTCGGGATGCGGCAGACTTCCTACTGAAGGCATCCTCTGTGTTCAAAATCAACCTCGATGGCAATGGCCAGGAGGCCTATGACTCCAGCTGCAACAGTGGCACATCTTATAATTCCATCAGCTCCGTCGTGTCCCGGTGAGGGCAGCCTTTGGCTTGGGCGGGTGTCTTTGGACTGCAGAACGGGGGGATGCAGCCCATTGTCCCAGCGGAGATTCAGGGTGCATCCCTCACTGTGCCTGCATCCTGAAGGTCCCCGCCCTCCCTCCTGCTTCACCTATTTCTCTGCCACTACCTCCCTCCTCCCACACATTCCACTGTGTGTGAACGTTCTTTCTAGTTACAGAGCAGACCACAGCCTGTCCTTTGGCCAATTGAGAAGCCAATGTCCCTCCTCCCTGTGTTCTAGATCCATCTCTGATCCTCCATCGCCTTGCTTCTTATGGATAATTTTACTGGAATTCCTAACTTCCCAATGAAATTTTTTAACTACTGTATGAATTGTCCTTAAAAAAAAAAAAAAAGCACATTAGCCCAAATGTATATTTCTTATAGTCTTTTTCTTGTTAGACCATGTCCTCCGCTTATCTCTCTGATGTTTGTAGAAAAGACTCCCATGTATGGAATCTCATGTTTGACTGATAAATAGACAACATGTGAGGCCTTTGCAGAAGAGGGTGTGTTTGAGACCATTCAGGTCAGCCAGGTGCTGTCGTGAAGGGAATGCTCCCTCTCTGTCCCCTGCTGTCTGCTGATTACCGCCTGAGGTGCTTCTCCCGGAGTTGTGGTTTTTCCAGTAATTTTGTGTTTCATTTCACATGGAAAGGAGAGGAAGGAATCCTCTTCTAGAGTGATTTCACACACAGTGTTGTTTTCATGTTAAGACACGTCCTTGCTGCTCTTGTTTAAACGTCAATGTGCACGTCCACGTGGAACCCGCAAACTGTCCCACTGATCATTCCCACTCATCTCAGGTAGAAGGTGACACAGCTGCAGGAAAGGAAGGTTTTGGGAGGACTCAGCAGATCCCTGACTCACAATTGGTGGCAGTCTGCTGTCATTTGTGCAGAGCACATGGTTTTCACACGTAGATCCTGGTTCAATAACTTCCTATACTTGAAGTCTTAAAAGATGAAGGAAGCCAGTTTTCTTGCAGTGATTTTAAATTGTGATGCAATTTTAAGTTGAAATGAGGGAACATGTCCTAATTCTTCTGTCCTGAGAAGCATGTAATTTTAATGTTACATTACATGTGTGTATATGTGTATATATATATATATATATGCGCATTATGTATATACATATATATTATTACAGGTATTTTTACTTAATCTATACAATGTAGTAAAAAGATGTTGGTTTTTCTTTCCTGTTCTCTTTTTTTCTTTTCTTTTTTTAAAAATATAAATAAACTATTGCTTGTTGCATTCGATTGTTGGTCTTTAATTCAAAAGGAATCCTTTTTCTCTGTTTTGTCTTCACTTGCTAGAACCCCACATGGCAGGGCAAACGAAACTGAAGTCTAGAAAGTTGTTTAACCTAAACTCCCATGTGGAAACACCCGGCTTATTTGGAGGGCGTTAGTACTAAAATTGGGGATGGTATGGGGAAGCGGGAAGAGCCCAGATGATTTTCACACTATTGTCACTTGAAGGGAATCCCTTCCATTGTCCTTGGGTGACCCAAACACCACTGGCATCCTTGAGTGCTGGCCCAGGCACATGGGGAGCTTTCTCTGTCTCTACAGAGGTGTGGGGACCAGCCCACAGGAGCAAGAGAAAACCTGATGCAGAAGATGCCTATCTCCTGCCCTTCCTTCCAGACAGAGCCCACGGCCCCAGGCATCTGCTGGAAATGCTAGCATCTGCTGGAAATGCTAGCTTTGACCTGTATGGAAGCGCTCAGTGACAAAACCTGCATTTAGTAAAAGCTCAAGACTGTTTAAAAATACATAGACAAAGAAAAAAGTTTGGAAGGAAAAAGATTAAAGCGGTAACGATTTTCTCTGTGGGGCTGGGCAAACAGGTCATTTCTATTTTTCCAACTTGTCCACAATAAACATGATCTATGTTACATTAGGAAAATAAATAAATGAAACAAAACTAAAAGCTACATAGACATGCCTGGAAAGGATGGCTCTGAGATCAAAGCTGTGTGCACCTCACAAGAGTAGACGCTTTTATCTTTGTCACCTCCGTCCTGAATGGTCACTTCATTCTCTCCTGCTTCAAAGAATGTCACAGGGGAGTGACATGGCACCCAGCCACTGAAACCCACAGGCACAGATTTGGTCTCTGGCATGGCCTTTATGTAAAATCCCAGAGAAGGATGTGACTGGCACAACCTTGGGTCTCAAGAGCAGATCTGCACAAAACATGAAGGGAAGGGAGGTAGAGTTCCACAATGGGCTGGCCCGGGGGTCCCTGGGTCAAGGTGGGGAAGGTAGCCATTCTCCCCAAGAAGGGTGTTCTGCTAATAGGAGAAATGGGAAGAGGCAGGGTGCTAGACAAATAAAAACAAAGTACTGGGGTGCCTGGAGTCTCAGTCAGTTGACCATCCGATGTTGGCTCAGGTCATGATCTCGCAGTTCATGAGTTTGAATCCTACTTCAGATCCTCTGTCCCCCTCTCTCCTTGGCCCTCCCTCTCTCATGCTCTCTCCCTCTCAAAAATAAATATACATTTAAAAAACACAAAGTGCTGCAAATCTTTATACTCTTGTTTTATGCAGGTGCCAGTGTACTTAGGATCTGGAGACACCTGGGCTCATGAAATGTTGAAACCATAATAGGAATCATTACAACCCAGGTCTGAAGAGATTATGGGTAACTGAACTCAGTGCTGCTGCATCCTGGAATTAGCTGGTGGTGATTCTTCCAAGGGCCTTTTGGCACCTTCAGTGCATGAATTCTGGTGAGACAGGAGCTCTCTGGCAAAGTCCCATCATGGGTAGCTGGCCCCACATACTGCAGGAAGGAAGAAACCAGAACACGGCTCACCTCCTGTGGCTACAGTGAGACTCATAGGGTGCAAGGTCTTAGGAGCCAGAAAGAAAAACCTCTCATGGGACCATTGTTCTGAGCATTGATGTGAGATGCAAAGGGAGCATGTTCCATGTGTTGTGCTACCCATTGGTATAAAGTCCACCTTGGGGTGCCCTGCATGCCTGAAGTCTCCTTATGGACAAGAGTTTCCCAGGGACCCAAAGCTTTTATGGAGTGGCAACGGACTTTTGTGATTCTGATTTGTTTACAAACCTGGGTTCCCCTCCTTTCAGAAAAGGAATCAGAACTGTGGGTGGGAATTCTGGTGGATGGTTTCAGAAAGGGGTATAATTACAACTACAGGATTCCCTGAAATGTTAAAATTGATTGCTTCCGGGGCGCCTGGGTGGCTCAGACGGTTAAGCGTCCGACTTCAGCTCAGGTCATGATATCACAGTCCATAGGTTCAAACCCCGTATCAGCCTCTGTACTGACAGCTCACAGCCTGGAGCCTGCTTCAGATTCTGTGTCTCCCTCTCTCTCTGCCCCTCCCCTGCTTGCTCTCTGTCTCTCAAAATAAAATATAGACATAAAAGAAAAAAAGAAATTGATCGATTCCCCAGTGTCCTGAGTCCACACAAGTCTTACTGAACCCTTGAAGGGAAGGAAAAATTCTTCTTCACCCTCAAGTTCTTCAGGCTGGACTAATAATTAGATTTACAGGAGACAGATTCACAGGAAAGAAAACCAAAGTTCTATCATGTGCACACTGAAGCCCAATCATGAGACTGAGACCTACGGAAACGACCAATGTACTGTTTTTCTACTTTTGAGACAGAGACACAATGGATCTTTGAGGAACTGACAGAATCAGGAAAATTTAATTCCGAGAGCTTTGTTGTTTTTTTTAAATAGTTCATTGTCAAGTTGGTTTCCATATAACACCCAGTGTTCATCCCCACAAGTGCCCTCCTCCATGTCCATCACCCCCATCTCCCCCCCCCATCAGTCCTCAGTTTGTTCTCGGCATTCAAGAGTCTCTCATGGTATGTCTCCCTCCCTCTCCCACACTATAATCCCTCCATTCTTCTCCCCCGCGGTCCTCCATTAAGTTCCACCTAATCCTCCTATACGTGCAAACATATGGTATTTGTCCTTCTCTGCCTGACTTATTTCTCTCAGCATAACACCCTCAAGTTCCATCCATGTTGCTATACATGGCCAGATTTCATTTTTTCTCATTGCCATGTAGTATTCCATTGTATAGATAAACCACATCTTCTTGATCCATTCGTCTGTTGATGGACACTTAGTCTCTTTTTATGTTTTGGCTATTGTTGATAGTGCTGCTATGAACATTGGGGTACATGTGACCCTGTGCATCAGCACTCCTGTATCCCTTGGGTAAATTCCTAGCAGTGCTATTGCTGGGTCATAGGCGAGTTCTATTCTTAATTTTTGGAGGAGCCTCCACTGTTTTCAAGAGGGGCTGCACCAGTTTACATTCCCACCAACAGTGTAGGAGGGTGCCCATTTCTCCACATCTTTGCCAGCATCCAGAGTCCTCTGATTTCCTCATTTTAGCCACTCTGAGTGGCGTGAGGTGGTACCTCAGTGTGGTTTTGATTTGTATTTCCCTGATGAGGAGGGATGCTAAGCATCATTTCATGTGTCTGTTGGCCATCTGGATGTCCTCTTTGGAGAAGTGTCTGTTCATGTCTTCTGCCCATTTCTTCACTGGGTTGTTTGTTTTTCGGGTGAGGAGTTTGGTGAGTTCCTTATAGATTTTGGATACTAGCCCTTTATCTGATAAGTCATTTGCAACTATCTTTTCCCATTCCATGGGTTGCCTATTAGTTTTATGGATTGTTTCCTTTGCCATGCAGAAGATTTTGATCTTGATGAGGTCCCAATAGTTCATTTTTGCTCTTGTTTCCCTTTCTTTTGGGGATGTGTCAAGTAAGAAATTGCTGCGGTTGAGGTCAAGGAGGTTGTTGCCTACTTTCTCCTCTAGGGTCTTGATGGTTTCCGGTCTCACATTCAGGTCCTTCATCCATTTTGAGTTTATTTTTGTGTATGGTGTGAGAAAATAATCTGGTTTCATTCTTCTGCATGTTGCTGTCCAGTTCTCCCAGCACCATCTGTTAAAGAGGCTGTCTTTTTTCCATTGGATACTCTTTCCTGCTTTGTCAAAGATTAGTTGGCTGTACATTTTTGGGTCCAATTCTGAGTTCTCTATTGTATTCCATTGGTCTATGTGTCTGTTTTTGTGCCAATACCATACTGCCTTAATGATGACAGCTTTGTAGTAGAGGATAAAGTCTGGGATGGTGATGTCTCTTGTTTTGGTTTTCTTCTTCAATATGACTTTGGCTATTCGGGGTCTTGTGTGGTTCCATATAAATTTTAGGATAGTTTCTTCCAGCTATGAGAAGAACGCTGGTGGAATTTTGATTGGGATTGCATTGAATGTGTAGATTGCTTTGGGTAGTTATGACATTTTAACTATATTTATTCTTCCAATCCATGAGCATGGGATGTTTTTCCATTTCTTTGTGTCTTCTTCAATTTCCTTCATAAGTTTTCTATAGTTTTCATCATACAGATCTCTTATATCTTTTCTTAGGTTTATTCCAAGGTATTTTATGGTTTTTTGTGCAATTGTGAATTGGATCAGCTTCTTGATTTCTATTTCTGTTGCTTCATTGTTGGTGTATGAAAATGCAACCAATTTCTGTACGTTGATTTTGTACTCTGCGACTTTGCTGAATTCATGGATCAGTTCTAGTAGGCTTCTGGTAGAGTCTGTCAGGTTTTCTATGTAGAGTATAATGTCATCTGGGAAAAGTGAAAGTTTGACTTCATCTTTGCCAATTCTGATGCCTTTTATTTCCTTTTGTTGTCTGATTGCTGATGCTAGGTCTTCCAGCACTATATGAAACAAGAGTGGTGAAAGTGGACATCCCTGTCGTGTTCCTGATCTCAGGGGGAAAAGCTCTCAATTTTTCCCCATTGAGGATGATGTTAGCTGAGGGCTTCTCAGAGATGGCTTTTATGATGTTTAAGTAATTTCCTTCTATCCCGACTTTCTCGAGGTCTTTTAAGAAGGGATGCTATATTTTGTCAAATGCTTTTTCTGCATCTATTGACAGGATCATATGGTTTTTATCTTTTCTTTTGTTGATGTGATGTATCACATTGATTGCTTTGCGAATATTGAACCAGCCCTGTAACCCAGGAATGAATCCTGCTTGATCATGGTGGATAATTCTTTTTATGTACTGTTGAATTCGTTTTTTAAGTATCTTGTTGAGGATTTTTGCATCTGTATTTATCAAGGATATTGGCCTGTAGTTCTCTTTTTTTGCTGGGTCTCTGTCTGGCTTGGGAATCAAAGTGATGCTGGCTTCATAAAATGAGATCAGAATTTTTCTTTGATTTCTATTTTT